AAAGTGAACTAGTTTTCTAGGCTGTGTAACAAACTCCTGCAAACTTTAGCAGCCTCAAACAGCACACATGTATGATCTCATCATTCCTTTGCGTCAGGAGCCTGGGCACAGCTTAGCTGGTTTCTTCCCCTCACGGCCCCATAAGGTTGCAACCAAGGTGTCAGCCAGAGCTTGGTTCTCATCTGGAGGCCCAACTAGGGAAGGATGTGTTTCCTTGCTTGTGCAGCTGTGGATTGCACTCACTTTCTCTCAGCAGAGAGTCCATAGCAGCTTCCTTCTTCAAAGCCAGCAAAGCCCGCTAGCAAGACAGAGTCTTATATAATGTAACAAAACCACAGGAGTGATACCCCATCACCTCTGCCATATTCTAGGGGTTAGAAGCAAGTCATAGGTCTTACCCATGCTCAAGGGGAGGGGCTTATCCAAAGGCATGAACATCAGGTCCCAGGGACCATGGGTGATACCCTAACTGTCCATCACGTGAGCCTTTTAATAAGATTTTAAAATGTGAAACTTCTGGGTATCTTTACTTCCAACTGTCAACTCAAGGAAATTCCATTATATACCGTAACTTGGACCATTATTACACTAACTTAGGATTATTAGGATATTTATCCTGAAAATATCTACCATAGAGAGAGAGAGGAAAAGCTCAATTCTTTCTGATCTTCAACATCCATTCAAGAAAGGTTACAATATACATTTTAAATAAAAATTTGTTCTTCAGACACAAATTTTTATTTGAGAAATCTCAGTTCATCATTTCAAAATTATAAAAGAGCAATATCTAAGAATACTTCTTACTAAATGAGATTATAAAAACATTGGGTTGTTGCTGGTTGCAACACTGTCCACTATGAGGTTTGATTTGACATGAATATTTAGTGAAATATTGGAACTGACTTTAAATCCTTTCCTTGGGCACCTGTTCTTGAACACTACCACCCCCCAAAAAACAAGAATTTTTGAGAACTGGAGACAACCTAAAATGTCACATATTATATCCGGTCTTTCTTCCAAGTCCTAACGGCCTTTTCTTCAAAATACCTGCTGTACTTACCCCTTTTCCTCCATTCACACAACTTGTACTTCTAGGGCAAGCTGTCAGTGCCTCAGGTCTGGATAAATCAGCATCAGCCCCCTACCTGGTGTCCTTATTCTAATATTTCCTCCCCACTCTGTCAGTCCTATTCCAGATTGAAGTTTTCTTCTACATAAACAGCTTTTAACAAACAGTTTATTTTTTCAGTCATTTGTGCTGCTGTTCCATTTCCTATGCTACCATCTGTACACACCCATGTCTGGCTTTTTACAAGATCTATCGTCTCATATATATTTCATTCAATCTCACTTCCATTTTAGTACAAACCATCTTTTCTCTCTCCAATAATTCCGTCCTGGTTCCTACACAAGGCAAGCTTGTGTCTGTTTCCTTATCTCTGTTCATATTGTACTTGGGTTGTCCATGCCCCTGTCATCATCATAAATGCCCTAAGTCACAATGAATAGATATTGGAGGATGGAGAACCCAGGTAAAGAATGAGGGGAAAGCCAGATTCTATGTATATGACAGAAAAGGAGAACAACAAGACAAGTCTATAACAGGACTCAGAAGGTAGCAGAGGAGGCGGAGACAGAAGGCTGGAAGAAGGTGGGTATAATGAGCACTAAGGTCATCACATCCTAGAAGTCAAAACCAATCCCTAGAGCCAAGCTAGGTTGCTTAGCCTGGACAAATGTAAGTATCAAGGGTTGAGATAAGCAGAGATGGGCAGACAGAAAGCATCCAAGAAAACAAAATCCCAGAGGACAAGAGAGGTCATGTGTGAGGATCTTCTCAGGCATTATAGGGATGGGCGGGTGATCAAAAAGAGCAGACAGGTGCATATTCATCTGCTTGATGAGAGAACAGCTTGATAAGAGGGAGTACTCTGCCTGAGACCCCGGTTTTCCCATGACATAGTGTACTTTTAATCTAGGCAGCTAGGTGCATGTGGAGGATCATGGTCTTTAAAGCCAGTCAGTCTTGGTTTCAAATTCCTCTTCCACCATTTGTTGGCTGTGTGACTTTGGACCACTTATTGACCTTCCCCAAGCCTCAGTTCACTTATCTGTAAAATGTGGATAATCGTATCAATCTCATGGTGTTATAAGGATTAAATATGATTACATATATATGAAATGCCTGACATCTAGCAAGTATACACATACTTATTGATTTTTACCGTTATTTTTATTTTTCCATCTGCCAAAACCAGAATGGCTACCCAGTTGTCCCTGAGAGCTGCATGACCTTCTCTAAGCTCTTGTGATCTGTAGAGTCTGCCTCATTCTTTGTTGTGCTGTGGGTTTGCAAAGTTTCAGTCGATGTAAGCTAATTTCTCCAATGATGTTATGAACGACTTCGGGAAAGTCTTCCCAATGCTGAGTTCATCACAAACTCAGCTGGCACTTGCTATTACAATGCATTTCATGGCCCCACTTCATTCATTCCTTCAACAAATATTTCTTGAGCACCCACTGGCTGGGAGGCTTGGGGATGCAAAAACAAAGAATAACAGCTTGGCTTCCTGGAGCGAGGCGTGGATGATACCACTCAAATGAAAGCATGTGAATCTTAAAACTGGAAGGACCTAAGAGATTATCTGGCCAGCTCTTTAATTTTATAAAGGTGTGATTGAGGATCTAAGAGATGACTCCGGCTTTTAATTTCTTCATCACTGATTTTTTTTTTTTTTTTTTTTTGGCCTACTAAATCATGTCATTTTGAAAAACAAAGAGAAAAGTCTAGGGTGTTTTTAACTGAGCAAGAGTTTGGAACTGAATGGTTTTACCATCTGCCATGTCATTGTGAAACTGAGCCCACTCCTCTCAGAGAATGTTGCCCCAAACGTGCATGGCATAACCTCCTGCAAGTCTTTACCAGAAAACTGACAAGAGTTCTCTCTGGTGGCTGTGCTCTGGTCTCATTGCTTCTTCCCCAGCATGAAAAAAAAAAAAAAAATCTGTCATAGAAACAGAGGTAATTCAGGCAGAATGCAAAGATGCTTTCTACTTTCTTTGCCAGGGAAGGCCAAGATGATGGTTTCCTCTGATGGTTATTCCAGACCATTGCTTTGTACACTTGAAAAGACACATCTAAGCATTTATATAGAGAAGTGCATTTGAATCAATAATATGGGACTAGCATCTGAAGACTCAGTGGCTTTAATCAAACTCTTTGCTCAATACCCTTCAATACTTGATCCACAAACTTGTCTCCAGATTCGAAGGCCAAGGTGAAGAGTAACATCCCTAGTTCAGGGGGGCTAATGAGACATTTATTAATGTCTACAAGAAATAAATGAGACATTTATGAATCCTACAAGAAAATCTTAATTAGACACTGCAGCACTGTTTGTTTCATTGTTAAAAACTACCCAGTCCCAGAAGAACTGAAGAATAAGTGAAGACTAACATAGAAAGTAGTGTTATAATCAGGCCCCCTGATATGAAAGTGATACACACACACACACACACACACACACACACACACACACACACGGAAAGTATTTGTCACTTATTTCTCCTAAATAATTCAGTATTAGCACTTACAATGAAAGTTTGATATAAAGATTCTTGAAATAGCTAGACATGTGGATACTGAAGAAACAGGAGATTATGATTCAACAAAATTCCACTAAGAAGGCAATTTTGTTGTGAGTTTTAGCTGCAGCAGTGTTAGTTCCGTCCAAGTTAATTAGCAAGATGACTTCATTATGATTTTCTTCTTGTTCATGTAATAGGTTCTTTCTGTTAAGAAACACTACTTTTTAACACAAGGATTTCATAATGCAAGTCCACATATTTTGGAACTGCTTCCTTTTATTTCATTGGCACTTTTTTCAGTCTACCCATCACACCCAAAAGGGAAGCGGGGGCGATGGGAGGAGCAGGGCGGTAACATAAAGGGATGGTAGACATTTACTGAAGCTTCCTAAAGCTAAGAGGGTGGCATACCCACAATGATATGCATGGCCAACAGGCTTTCCAGTAATATTTGATGTTCTAAATTTTGTTTTCAAATTTTAAATTTAGTAGGTTCAAGATAAGAGCAGAGAGGAAGAAAAGAGAGGGAGAGAACTTTGGGGACATTCATTTACAGCTTCAGAAAAATTCCCCTTGCTAAAATAAGAGGTGGGAAAAATACTGCTGGCATTTTACATAATATTAGTTACAAAGTATGCTAATAAACCAGGTTGTCAAATTGTGTCAGTCCCATCTAAATAACAAGCAAATTGCCTTATACAGATGGAAAATGTGTGAGATGAATAGATCTCCTGTGTAAACTCCCTCAACTAAGATTTATGAATTTTGTTCTACTTATCTAGCCTATTTAATATCATACCCTGCATTCTTTTCAACTTCTTTTAAAAAAAAATCATTAAGCCTAAACCTCATTTCAAAATCTTCAAGCTTTCATAAGTCCCCTAGTCTTTAGCAGGGGGTGGGGGGAATCCACCTGTACAGAGTTCCCAAGAAAATGTCAATTGCTGTCTCTTCATCACTGGAGTTTCAGAAATGCAGCAACAGTACACCCCATATGAAGTTTTGGGGAGCCATTTAGCAATGGTTCTAGTTGTTGTTATATTAGATAAAACTATTGAAAACAGAAAAGCTATTTTCCTTCCACACATACTAAACCCCAAAAATTGTGTTTTGAAGAGAATATTCTGAAAAATAAGAAATTAGCTGGTGATTTTTTTTTTTTTTTTTTTTCAGCCAGGGTAGTGTTTATTGCCTTTCCCTTGGGCTAAGCCAGCACGAAGTCCTTCTGGAGACTCAAGCCCCACAGCAGCAATGGGAGGCGAGAGGGGCTGAGCCGACAGGAAGCCCTGCTCCGACGTCTGGGTCAGGGAGTGATGGCCCTTGTACCTTGGTCCTCTTGAGGCTTCAAGGGCCTGCTTTGCCGTCACCACGGCGCTGAGGGGAAGCCTGTGCTGACTGGAGAAATCTCAGGCTCACAGGGTCCAGTAGGCGTAGATGAGGGTCAGAAGGAGAGAGATGGCCACAGACAGCAGCATGCTCTTCCGGTTCTCCTGCCGAAGCAACTGCAGCTCCTTCTCATAGCTGGAGGCTTTGTTCATCAGGCTGCTTTCCTCCTTCTCCAGAGGCCTCCTGGCCTCTGAGCTCAGCTCTGCCCCATGAGGTTGACCGATGGCTTTCTTCTGTCCACTGGCCACAGATAATACCTCTTGCCCCAGCTATAATGAATGTGTACTCTTATTCACAGTGATAATGGGAAATAATGGAGGAAGCAAGTATAGTTATTTGGAAATAATATGGAAGATACATCCACCTCTGACCCTTCTTAGCTGTATGATGTTTGACCAGTCTTAGTTCACTTCCTGAGTATCACATTTCTAAGTGGAGGTGCTCATAATACCTAGTAACTTTGCTTTGAGGATTTTATGATGTAATATATGTGGGAGAAATGCTCTGTAAAATATCAAGCAACAGATAAGTGTACAGAAGGGACCAGAACAAGAAAGAATGGGGTAATCAATGAAATCCATCACTGCTATTTTGAAAGTTACCGAAAGCACATACTCTTCTGCCCGGATAAAGGGCAGCAAGATAAATAAACCCTAACCAAATTGGAGGGGGTCACCTGAACAGGAGGGGAAGTGTAATTTACTCTTGTATAACCACGTATGCCTAGATGGCATTGCCAGAAAAACTGTTGAATGAATAACGCCAAAGTTGGCTAATAAGAATATTTTAAACATTGCTTCCCAACTTTCCTTCCCCTTTCTACATGGCAGAGTGAAAATCTTACTACTCTGCGAATCAGGAGATATGTCGTCTAGTTTCAGTTCCCGAGGTGTGCACTGTTATTCATTCATTCATTCATTGGACCAGTGTTTATTGACCTGAGTGTCAGGTCCTGTACTGAGCACAAAAGATACAGCAGTATACTTCGCACATCCCTAGCATGAATCACTCAAATTCTCCATCTAGAACTCCTGCATCTGTAAGAAGGGAGAAATGGGCATAATGCTCTCTCCAGTCCCTTTCAGTTCTAATGTGTTTTTTTTCCTCTCTGCAGATTTTCATCCTATATTCTCCTCCAAAGACTCAGGGAGTCTTCATGCTGATCTTTCCTATTCATTAAATTATAAAATAATATTTATGAATATGTATATAGAGACATTACAGTGTCTATAATGTATACACATATGCACGTCTATAACTTATTTCCTAAATAGCATTCCTCCATTCATTTATGCATCACACCTTGAGAGTCTTTGAAGGGAGTCACTTCACTATTTGTGGTGGCATGTGCAGATATATTAAACAGTCCTTACCCTCTAAGTACTTTGTAATAGAAGAGACAAAAGATATTCACAAATAATTACATGTCAGAATCCTTTCTTTAGAAAAAAAAAATCCTTTCACTTGATGGGATCAGAAAAGATTTCTTGTAGGTAGTGGTGCTAAAATGAGCCTGGAAGAAGGGATAGGATTTTGAAGCAAAGTGGAAGAAGAGAAGGTCATACAAGAAAGAGTCTGGGGCTTCCCTGGTGGCGCAGTTGTTGAGAGTCCGCCTGCCAGCGCAGGGAACACGGGTTCATGCCCCGGTCCGGGAAGATCCCACATGCCGCGGAGCGGCTGGGCCCGTGGGCCATGGCCACTGAGCCTGCGCGTCTGGAGCCTGTGCTCCGCAACGGGAGAGGCCACAACAGTGAGGGGCCCGTGTACCGCAAAAAAAAAAAAAAAAAAAAGAAATAGTCTGGGCAGAGGAAAAGACTAAGAACAGGATATCTGAAAAAGTACTAACCATATGGACATTTCATGTGTGAGACATGAAAGATGAGGCTGTTAAAGGAGATTGAGGTCAAGTGTGAATCACGATGCCAAATGCAGGTGCTGGGACTTTATGCTTTTGGCTAGCACTGTCTATAGCGTATAATGCAAGCCATATACATAATTTTAAGACTTAAGTGGCTTCATTTAAAAAGGTAAAAAGAAACAAGTGAATTAATTTTAGTGATATATTTTCTTTTACCCAGTGTAGGCAATGTATCATTTCATTTCAACATATAGTCAATATAATCAATACAAAACATTTTAATGAAATATTTTACATTCTTTTTTTTCATACTATGTCTTTAAAATCTGTGGGTATTTAACACTTGCAGCAATGTGCTAATGGCTAGTGACCAGTGGCTACAGTATTGGACCAAGCAACTCTAGGCTATGGACAGACATTGCTGGGTTTTGAGGTAGAGAGTGGTTCAGTGAAAACAATTTTTAGACAGCTGAATGACGTTTTAGTATGTAGACATGTGTCAGATTGTGAGCATATTATGGTCACAGGAAGGATATTATGGACACAAGACAGGGAGACGATGTTGTGGAAATAACCTGGCTTTGAAATAATTGAGGATGGACTGTGGTGGTTGACTCATGTATTATAGAAATTTGGGAGAAATGCCAAGTCTGCACAATCCAATTGAAGGAGAAAGTAATGAGCAATATGCCAATTCACATAGTTAAAGGAAAAGGAGAACAGTTTGTTGTATCACCTGATCATCTTGCTTATCTCACTAGATTGGAACCTCAGTTCCACAGACGTCTACTAATGAACTGTGCCAGGCTTTGGGGAGTTTATAAATATATATATATATATATATATATATATATAAATGTTTATAAATGTATTGATATGAACAGTTGTTCTTAATGTAACTTAACAACATCATGGGCAAAGCAGGCATTTACACAACAGAGAGCAAAACCTGATTTTGAACACTTTGGAAACACAGAAGAGGGAATATACAATTCTGCCTGGAAGAATCTAGAAAAGGTTCTTGGGGGAAGTGAGCTCAGAGCTGAATATTGAAGAATAAGGACAATTTCTACAAGTGGACATAAAGAAAGGACATCATGAGTAGAAGGAAAGGCATGAAGGAAATTAGCAAAGTATCTGGCATATTTTGGAAACTAAATATTTGCCAAATTTAGGGTCTGTATGGACATATCATATGAAAGGAAGCTGGAAAGGTGATTAAGGAGAAATCGGGGTGAGGGAATGTCAAGAGCTAGTTAAATGAACAGTGTTCCACTTTGCTGCAGAGGCCTGGAGCATCATCAGGGAAAGAAGCCCACTTCCAGAGGTGGGTGTCGGGGAACATGGCTTTAGCTTGAGAAAAAGATGCAGAGGGGTCGGCTTCCGAGAGAGTAATATGAAGACAGTAGTTTGTACATTATACCTCGGAGTACTGACTTAGTGTCGGATACAATGATCTGCCTCTTCACTGAAAAGTATCTGACATTTCACTAAACTGACCTTTTCTTGCCAATAGCAAACTCAATTGCATCATCCTCTCTGTTCAAAGTTTGAGCATAGAGCTGGCATTGTCAGGGGTACAATGTGTCTCTTGAAGGCAAGCCTTCCCTGTTTGGTACCCAGTATTCTAAGAGAAGAAAGAAATCACTCCTGCTTTTTTGTTTTCTTTAAGCTACAGATGATGGGGAAATATGTCTGTATTGGTCTTCTAATGCTGCATAACAAATGACTTGCCAGCATCCCAACTTAATACCGATTTATTAACTCACAGTTCTGTAGGTCAGAAGTCCAGGTGGGCTCAACAGGATTCTCTCTGGAGAATCTTACAAGGCTGAAATCAAGCCATCAGTTTGACTGGGCTCTTATCTAGAGAGTCTGGGGAAGGATCTACTTCCAAGTTCATTCGTGGTTGACAGAATCTAGTTCCTTGTGGTTGTAGGAATGAGGTCCCTGTGTTCTTTCTGGTTGCTGGCAACTCACTTCCCAGAAGTTGCTCTCCAAGTCCTTGTACCTTAAGCTCTCAACAGCACATCAAATCCTCTCTTCCTTGGAATCTCTCTAACCATCCCTTTTGCTACTAGCTGGAGAAAACTCCCTGCTTTTAAAGAGCTCCTCTGATCAGATTAGGCCCACCTGGGTGATCTCCTTATTTTTAGGTCAACTGTTTAGCAACCTTAATTACAATCTGCAAAATCATTTTGCTCTGTAACAACATAATCACAGGAGGAACACCAGGGGCAAAAAAAAAAAAAAGCATTTTGCTCTGTAACATAACATAATCACAGGAGGAACACCTCCATTTCATGGAGGAAATGAAGAATTCTTCCCCACCTACTGTGCCCTTACTATATCATATCAGAATACATTTCAAATGGAACCATTTCATTTTTTCCTTGTAAATTGAAATAAGCCACTATACAAGATGAAACAAAGACACAAAACATCTTTGTCTATAAAAGGACAGATTTCGTCCTTGCTGAGTGACTGATTAAACAGATGGGCAAGAAATTTATATGAGTCTAAGGGGAAAGGAATAAAATAAAAGAGACTTTCATTTCTGGCAGTGTGGTCAAATAAGTACCCTGTATCACACTCACTATTGAAATAACTAAAATGTATGGTGAAGTAACTAAACTATATGTCCAACTCTATAAGTATATAACTATATCTATGAGGCTACTTGAAAGGAGGGAATCAGTGGAGCCCAAAAATGAAATAGAATGAGGAATGATTAGTAAGTTCTCAGGAGAATATTACTCCGAGAATTTCTGCCAAACCCTAGAATCCTTTAGCTTGCACTTTGATGGTTATGTGGGCTTAGCTTTGAGAAAAAGCACGGGAGCTGGTCAGTGCAAGGAATCTAATAAGAGACACTCATAAAAATAGTATTCTAGAAGACTATACTGTTATTGTAAGAATGAATTAGAAATAAACCCTAATATTCCACAAGGAAATCAATTTTGGCACAGAGTGAGAAGAAAATTCCCCGAGGATTCATAATCACAAATAGGTCCTCCCTTGAGTTTGGTGTTCTAATTCATGCTGCAGATGTGGTCCAAAAAACCTCAAGCATTATCCCAGAGGATCATGACCTCAGGCAACTGGCAGAAGCAAATCTATAACTCCTTTGAAAGACTCAACTTAAACCCAGGCTTCCTGCTAAATGGGAAGGAAATCTAAAAAAGAGTGGATATATGTACACGTATAACTGATTCACTTTGCTGTACAGCAGAAACTAACACAACATTGTAAATCAACTATACTCCAATAAAAAAAAAGTCGTGCTTGGGCTTCCCTGGTGGCGCAGTGGTTGAGAGTCTGCCTGCTGATGCAGGGGACACGGGTTCGTGCCCCGGTCTGGGAAGATCCCACATGCCGCGGTGCGGCTGGGCCCGTGAGCCATGGCCGCTGAGCCTGCGCATCCAGAACCTGTGCTCCGCAGCGGGAGAGGCCACAACAGTGAGAGGCCCGCTTACTGCAAAAAAAAAAGTCATGCTTTTTACGACATGATCATCTTACTACTCAGTTTATGTTTGAATCAGATAGTGGCTGTTTGTAGTAGAAGACATACAGGGATATGTATTGCATTATTCCTAATAATGGAGAAAACTTGAAAGCAAACTTAGGTGTCTGACAGTTGCACGTGTATTGCATTTTTTTTTTTTTTTTTTTTTTTTTTATATATGTTCAGATCTTGGAATTTTTAACTCATTGTGGGAAAGTTCTTTTTTCAGAAGTGTTGCTCAGGACTCTTTCTTTCCCGGTGATTTATAACTTCTCCACTCCAAACAGGCTGGGTGGCTTGTCTGCTTGACCCCTCAGGCTTCATACACACTATAAGCTTCATCCCCTGTCGGCAGGCGGACTCTCAAGCACTGCGCCACCAGGGAAGCCCATATTGCATATATTTTTAATTGATTTATTAAACTGATTTTATTTAAAAAAAAAAACAAAAAACAGGCTTCCTGGGTTAAATAAAGTTCCTTAGAAAATGAACAACCCAGAATGAAGAATCACAGAACTAACAAGGAAATAAGACACTGTGAGTAAAACAAAAAACCTCAACGGCCTCAGATAATGGAATTTTGGATGATATTGATAAATGCAGATAAATCTAAATAAGCAATGTTTTGTAAAGCAGTAATAACAAAAATAATGCCTAACCTAGGAGGTGCTGAGGAATCACACTAGAATGAATATCCTGACCCGAAATGTACATAGTAGCTGGGAGAAAGTGATAGGAGTTAATGTGCTAAATTTGTAATTGGCATAATGATTGTTATTCTCAGGAATTATTTAATTAACTGGTTTCTGTCCTCTTTTTCTACCCTTGATGAAAGTATTGTCATCCAATCAGGATATTTTTCTGGGAAGAACTGATGATCCAACCAGAGAGAGACAGAAAGGATATTAACACTTGTTAATTACTTTCTTTTCTTCCAAGCGCTATACTTTGACAAAAATCACTTTAGCACTCTTTCAAAACGTATAGCACGCAAGGATTAGATTTGCACTGATGAATGAGTATCTAGTCCTGGTACTAAAATTAATGCCAAATCTTCATAGAAAGAGGATGAATTTTCCCACAAATACTGACAGTCAATACAGCTAGATTCTATTTTGAACTCTGCCAGTCATTAGCTAAGTGGACCTAGGACTGTACCTGGACCAGACATTGGCTTCCTCATTTTGAGAATAGAGAATAAAATAGTTATTGTCTCTCATATCTTTGCTGTTAAACTCCAATGAAACAATGTTTAAGCTAGAGCTTTAAAAACTGCAAAGTGCTACACAAATAGATAGTAGCCTTATGAAAACTTTTTATGATGATTAAGTAGATAATAGGAAATCTTTCTCTAAAGTTTTTAGGTTGTTCTGATACAAATTCACTTAAATTTTATGTTAAATGTGTTGAATTTTCTGAGTCCAACTTTGAGATTTGAACATGGTGCATTCACATTTCTGTGCAATCAGTCTGCTAATGGTTTAATTCTTCACTTTAATGTTAAAATCAGCATCATCTTCAGATTATAAAAGAAATATATAACTTAGTGTTATAGAGGTTAAAGGAGAGGAAAAAGTTGCTGCAGACAGAGGATAATGAAAACTACAATGAAATAAAAGTTAATGATAAAAGTACCACCATACTTTTAATCTATTTGTGGCATTAAGGTATTTTTTTATATACATCATTTCTTTGATCCTCACCAAAAAACAAAGACAAAATTTGTGAGACAGGAAATTAGATTTAAAAGTTGACTTTCTATCTGGTAGTTTATTTTTGCGGTACGCGGGCCTCTCACTGCTGTGGCCTCTCCCGTTGCGGAGCACAGGCTCCGGACGCGCAGGCTCAGCAGCCATGGCTCACAGGCCCAGCCACTCCGCGGCATGTGGATCTTCCCGTGTCCCCTGCATCGGCAGGTGGACTCTCAACCACTGTGCCACCAGGGAAGCCCAATACTATACGTGATTTTAAAATAAATATACTCAGCTATTACTGAATATGACAAGTAGAACTGATATTACTATAAAATTTACCAGCTATGCAAGGCAGAGGGAAGAGCTTATCCAGTTAACTTGAGCTCTTTAACTGCATGAGCCTAAATTACTGGAATGATCTGTTTGGACCACGTATCTTAACTTAATTACCTGTATAATTGTCACCTCTCCAACTCATACTTTTCTATAAACACAAGATTAGAGAAGGAGAGATTCTGCTTCCAAACTTATCAGCAGGATAAATTTACTAAACTCCAGTAACTATTTAATGAAGTGAAAAGAAACTTTAGGAGGGAAAATACATACCCTTCTTCTACAAACATTAGTTACATATACCAATGAGATACGGAGATTAAGACTAATTGGGATTTCATGCCAAAATAAAATTCAGTTCCTGTCTCTTTCCTTAAGACATCATTCTAGTAAAATGAGACCCTGAAACAGAAACAGAATTAACTGATTCCTTTTAAGTTTAGTAACTACAAATGCAAAATGAGTATCCTCCTGCAGAGAGCCAGAGGACTACTCAAGCTAATGCAATAATGGTAGCTGTGAGAAATTATGTATGCACGATTTCAGAAGCTGAATGGAGGAAAGAAATGGAGAACCCATTTGAAAATTTGTAATTTGCTCAAAGCTGCTCCTGCAGTAACTCCCAGGATAAGCCCTCAGCACGGAGCTGTAATAAACTCCACAGTTCTATATAATTTACCAACTTTTTTCTTTTCATGTGTAACATTGACCCTTCATGGTTAACTGAAGAAACAAAGAACTCAATAGCTTCCTTAGCCATTTGATAGAGCAATTATGAGCATCCTGACGGATACATTTTCTGCTTAATCTGCTAACAAGTGGTGTCCATTTTCCTCTTAATGTACACCCGTCTCTTCACATTCGACCTGACACATGCAGAACACCACTTCCCATGCCCTTGTTCTTTTTTTTTTTTTTTTTTTTTTTTTTTTGCGGTAGGTGGCTCTCTCACTGTTGTGGCCTCTCCCGTTGCGGGGCACAGGCTCCGGACGCGCAGGCTCAACGGCCATGGCTAACGGGCCCAGCCGCTCCGCGGCATGTGGGATCTTCCCGGACCGGAGAACGAACCCGCGTCCCCTGCATCGGCAGGCGGACTCTCAACCACTGCGCCACCAGGGAAGCCCTGCCCTTGTTCTTGTAGCCTCTTCATTTGTTTCTTTCTCCTTACAGCTGTCTTATGTGATCATTATAATAGAAGAAAAGAGAATTCTTTGTGACACTTTTCCTCAGCTGCCCTTGGTTAATTTTTTCAGAATGAGATTCCTATGGGCTCCCTGACATCCGGGCAGATAGAAAGCTCATCAGTAGACTCTTTCTTAAGTGTCGGTGTCTTTTCAAAGAAATTTCTTGGCTTTGAATGAGAGAATTGCTTTTCACAATGATAGGCAGTGGAATGTGAGGCAGCCATCTTGAAAGAGTTCCCGACTATTTACAACTGGGGACTTATAAGCACTTAACAATTGAGATTCACCTCAGGCACTAATTTCCCCCCACCACTGCAATTGTCTTTACTTCCTTACACATTAATCTCTCCTTATAAGAACACTCATTTAGTGGTAATCTGATGGAATTCCTTAGTGTAAAAGAAGTTTAAACCCAGAAGGGATTGTTAAACTCATCCCTTCCAAACCCTTTGTTTCTTGGGAGGAAAAATCAGAAGACCAGGGAGGGTAAATGATTCACCCAAAGTCACAGAGCAGGTGAGTAACAAAGTTTGAGCTTCCTGTTTTGTTTTACTTTAAAGGGGGCAGAGAGGCGGGAGTCAGAGGATTTCCCCCACGGATCTATGGTAGGGGATCCCCTCTGCTCAAGTGTGTGTGTGTGTGTGTGTGTGTGTGTGTGTGTGTGTGTGACCACATTATCCTTGAGTGGCGCATGCTCTTTTAGGGATATTGTACTTAGGACTGTAAGGCTTTGTGGATAGCTACCATGCTTCCGAAAGCAGACACCATTCCCAGGGTTGGGTACCCAAGAAAGAGATGGGTCTCAGGAAAGACCACAGAACTTAGAGGGAAAAATGAAGGGGAGTGGAATTCCAGTGCTGTACAAAGATATGAAGGACTGTGTTCCTACGTGATGGGGTTAAGACAGCACCTCTCTTAAAACCAAGCATCTGGAAAAAGGAGGCACCGCTGTGAAGGCCCACAGCCTATACACAAGTAATCCATTCTCTGAAGGCTGGAGGGTCTGGCACCAGGACTGTACACATAATTTGTGGGACCCACTGCAAAATGAAAATGGGCTCCTTGTTCAGAAATTATTAAGAATTTCAAGGCAGTGACAGCAGAGCCTTAAACCAAGCATTCAGCCCTTCTGAACACAGAGCCCCATGCAAATACACAGGTCATGTGGCCAACAGCTTAGCCCTGTCAGGCAGCAAGTTGTTCCCTTGGCAAATTCTGGTCTAAGCATCCCAACAAAGTCTTCACTTGCAGGGGGTTTTGAAGAGAGGAGTCTTTTAAAGGAAGACTAGTGCCTTTTGGAGAGTGGTCTGACTGTGGATACTTGGGTAGGAGGCAAGGACCCTCCACAGGGGAAGTGGATCTTAGGGCCAGGAGATGAGACTCTGAGGTCCAGCAGACCCCACCCTTGTGAGGAGTCTTCCTTCGCTGCCAGTCTAAGAGGATCTGGGCTCTGTGTTTAACGGAAGATGCAGTTTCCTTACACTTTTGACAAGAGTTGACCTTGAATGCTGGAAGACGAAGAGAGTAATGAAGCAGGATCTGTGTCCCTTGTTGCCCACATCATTCCCAGCGTCTGCAGTAAACATGGCAGCACTCAGTAAACATTTGTTGATGAATGGTAACATAGGCAGTTATCTTGAGAACAGAATTTGTTGGAGTCCTTCTGGCCCTGAAAGAAAGATCTGAGATTCTGAAAAAAGAGGTGTCTGTGGTAATAAAAAGAGGAATGCTTTGAAGCACATTAATAATACTGCAATTTAAGAAAACGTTAGGGCTTCCCTGGTGGCGCAGTGCTTGAGAGTCCACCTGCCGATGCAGGAGACGCGGG